ATCCTGGGCTCCCCTTAAAGAGATTACCCCTCACTTCCTGTCCTGCTGACAGAGGTTTCCCCAGACAGGAAGTAAGGTAAAATCTGCAACAGGTAGACAAGCAGAGATACAAATCTACACGTGTGAAGTGTAATGAGGGCGCCATGTGGACCATCTAAGAGTCTGAAGCCTTGTAATAATGGTGCCGGTTCATATCCAGGCAACCTAGAACAGCTGACGCGTTTCGGGGGGCTTGAAAATGTCCTTGTTCTTCAGGCGTAAAAGGTAATAATGAGGTTTCATTGTTTGCTATGTAAAAGGTTAAAAAAGGATAATTCCACTTTCCCAGGCCAATTTGGGAAAAATTGAGTTACCCCCCTCAATCTGCCACCCCCCCAACGCACAGCACTTACCAGTAAACGAAGGCTCCTTACCCTCCATGGCTTCCGGTATTCATGAGAGGGGGCAGATTGGTAGTGGGACTCAATTTTCCAAAATTCACCTGGAAAAGTGGAGTTACCCTTGAAGTATATCCAGAATCAGGGGAGCTGGGAAGATCTTTAAGCCCCCGGAACGCGTCGGCTGTTCTATGTTGTCTTGTTATGAAACAATACAAATATTAGAAAATTTCCAACCTTTCTCATGGCGCCCTCATTAACCTTTGTACATGCGGATCGTCAACTCTCGGTCCTCTCTTCGCGGGGTACCCCGTTGTTCCTGAGCGGCCTCACCGGAACTACTGTTCCCTACTGTAATCTGATTGGCTTGACAAGAAAATTAGGTTTTCGGGGTTTTTTTGTGGAGAAGGGCGTGCGGCATGTAGCTGGTGACACGCACCATGGGGTCCCTCTCCACCACCAAGACGTTGTAGGCACTCCTCTGTTCCTGCATCTGCTTCAACCAGAAGGCGATCGACCAGCCCATCACCCCTCCCCCGACGATGACCAGGTCCGCATGGTCCGGGGGGAGGTGATCCGTCGACCTCAAAGGGCTCCACTTGCTGCCGGGCAGAGCGACCCGGAACTTCTTCTGGAACTTGTCGAATTCCTGCGTCAGGGTCGGGACTGGCGGGAGAGAAAAGAAGGACGAGTCAGACGTTTCCCACGCTGAACGCGTTTCAGAGATCTATGAATGGTATTTACTGATATCATCTCAGCACTGTTGTCTGGGGGGGTATCACATGACCATTAAAGAGGACCTGTACTGTGCGAGCTGTGCCTGAAAAAGAGGCAAGTAGAGGACAAAGGACTAGTCATAGGTGTTCCCTGCGGTCTCCCTGCTGCTGATCCCTATTACTGGCTCGCCACGCCTTGCTCTGCACTGTGTCCCTGTATGGAGGTGGCCGTCCTGGCAGGGCTTTGCTTCCACATGTCCAGCACCACCGGCCCGCTGCCTTCCAGCATCACAGGCCCGCTGCCTTCCAGCATCACAGGCCCGCTGCCTTCCAGCATCACAGGCCGCTGTCTTCCAGCATCACAGGCCCGCTGCCTTCCAGCATCACAGGCCCGCTGCCTTCCAGCACCACCGGCCCGCTGCCTTCCAGCATCACAGGCCGCTGCCTTCCAGCATCACAGGCCGCTGCCTTCCAGCATCACAGTTCAAATACAGCAGAAGTGATGGAGAAAAATGATAGAACAAGAATTGCACTTTGTGCTGCAGAATTGCGATTGGACTGATCAGCCGCGTGGAACAAACGCTGACACGCAATCTCTTATCATTAAAATCCTGACGCAGCTTCTGGATCTATTTTCATTCTGTATTCTGATCATTAACGCAGCGCGGGAGGGACGCCGTACATCTGCCAGGTGGATTTTCACCTTAGACCTTGTCACCGCGTTATAAAACATTCGATGTGGGCGGAAAAATAATAATTCAGCGCACAGGAAAGGGGATCGAACTCCCGACTACTAAAATCTCACAAACCTAAATTCTTGTGGGCAGTTGTCACCGCTAGAAACCCCCCATCACCTACCATACACCCTGCACCCCCCTCACCTAGGTGTTCTCTCTTTGTACAGCACCACAACCATGTTGCAGACCCATTTAATAAATGCACACACGCTGGCATTAGTGGATGAGTGCATTGCTCTGGCTCCTGCAGACTCTTCCTCCCGTCCTCTGCCTGCACAGAGGTACGGACTTTCAGCTAAGGGACAGAGGGACCCATGAATGGACTACAAGTGCGGTCTTATGCTTGTACTCATTGAGAACTACAAGTCCTTCTGCTGCGGTGGCAGGTCGCACCTGTAGCTTCTCCATTCACACATGCTGTGAACTGATCCACGAATGGAGGACGTGGCTGTGCAGGACACACATATATATA